TGGAGGAATGAGAAACCACATCTTGTTTCTTGGTCTTCCATGAAACTGGCGATCCTCCAAGTAACGCAACATAAGCCGTTAAAGAACGTCTCGTCAAAGGGCAAGCCACCCAGTCGGCATCACAATAGACCGAGAGTTGAAGATCTGAATCAGAACGCAGCAAAATGCCCTGACCAACTGTCCCTTTTAGAAAACGCACCACACGCAAAGCAGCGTCCCACTGTCTCTGTCGAGGCTTCTGCATAAATTGTGAGAGGATGTGAACTGCATAACAAATATCGGGCCTTGTATTACCCAGATAAATGAGACGTCCAAACAACCATCGGTAACGCGTAGGATTAGTCATAAGCTCACTTGTATTCAGACGCCAGACGATGGTTTTGCTCTAAAGGAGTGGGAGCTGGTTTCGAACCGAGCAAACCAGTTTCGGCGATGATATCTAACGCATACTTCCGTTGTGTCAACATGATTCCTTCCTCACTTCGAGCAATTTCAATACCCTGAAAATACTTGAGTTTGCCCTAGTCCTTCATATGAAACAAGCGACCAAGATACTCTTTAAACTTGACAATTGCAGCATTATCATTTCCACAAATGACCAAATCATCGACATAGATGAGCACTCGAATCTCAACATCACCGCGAGAATATGAAAACAAAGAGTAATCTGCATACGATTGAACAAAGCCTGCTCTTGTAAGAGCTGTAGTGAGCTTTTCATACCAGCAACGTGGAGCCTGACGAAGACCATATAAAGACTTGTGCAACTTACAGACTTTGTTCGGATCCGAGTGGGAAAAACCTTGCGGGAGTTTAATGTAAACTTCCTCTTGCAAATCTCTGTGAAGAAATGCGTTGTGAACGTCCATTTGGTGGACCTCCCAGTTATGTGCTGCTATAATGCGAAGTAAACTCCTCACAGTGGTGATCTTGACGACATGGGCAAACGTCTCGTCGTAGTCAATGCCTTCGATCTGACGATTACCAAGCACCACTAACCGTGCTTTGTATCGTTCGATACTACCATCTGAGCGATACTTAATCTTGTACACCCACATCGTCCCTAAAGCCACTTTACCCGGAGGTAAATCAACAACACTCCAAGTCTTGAGATCCTCAAGCCAATGCACCTCGGTTCCCATTGCATCGCGCCATCGCTTATCACGAACTGCTTCATGGAAGCTACGTGGCTCAACGTCTGCGGTTATGGCTGTGAGAAAAGCCTTGTGGCTGACAGAAAACCGCTCGTTAGAGATAAAATCAGTGAGAGGGTATAAAGACGTACCTTGAACCGTTTCGGGACAAGGATTGAGTGGAGCAGGTGGAACGTGATGAGTGTCATTACGGATGGCGTTGTATGTGATAAAGTCCCTTAGCTTAACTGATTTCATCTTCTCTCGACAGCCGCAACCCAAATTTTCTTCAACTGATGCCACAGAAGTACCATCAGCTTGTAAATCCACAACAGGACCAACTTCCAAAATCGCTTGATCAAGCGCCGCAGGAGACGACGGATCAACGGAGAGTGATGACGCAGCTTCGGGTGGATCAGGAGATGGCTCCGATACACCAAGATCACTCCTCCTGCCTTCGATATCCCCAGAGGGGTACAAAACCCAATCATCGTCAACAGCTTCTAAAGTGATGGAAGGAGACGAAGCAGATGACACAGTGCTCGCAAAGGGAAACTCTGTTTCCTTAAAAATCACATCTCTGGAAATAAAAAATTCTTCAGTCTCTAAGTCGTACAATTTCCATCCCTTTTTCCCGAAGGGATAACCAACAAAAATACACCGCCGACTTCGCGAAACGAACTTGTCTCGATCATGTTTGTGAGCATAACATAGAGACCCAACACCTTTAAGCGATCATACGAAGGTCTTTGAGCAAACAAAACTTCATGAGGGCATTGACCATGAAGTACTTTCGACGGAGTAACATTGATGACATGTGCAGCGGTCAAAATAGCTTCACCCCAGAATTTTGTTGGCAAGTGTGCTTGAAACAACAAAGAGCGAGCAACATTTAATATGTGGCGATGCTTCCTTTCTACTCTGCCATTCTGTTGCGGTGTTCCAACGCATGACGTTTGATGCACAATCCCTTGTTCACGAAAGAAGGAAGAGAGACACATGAACTCCGTACCGTTATCGGTACGAACTATTTTAACTGTTTTTCCAAACTGTTTTTCCGCATAAGCACAGAAATTTTGAAGCAGATTTCGTACTTCTGATTTTCAAGGAGCCAATACGTCCATACGGCACGGGAAAAATCATCGACGATAGTCAAAAAATACACTACACCATTGGTTGCAGGAACACGGTATGGACCCCAAACATCAACGTGAATTAAGGAAAAACATTCCGTAGTTTTATTCATACTATCGAAAAACATCTCTCTAGTTTGCTTAGCCCGAAAACACGTGTCGCAAGGACTGGGACTAGCAGAAACAGAAACACCAGCAAAGAAAGGTAAAGACGACAACACCGAAAACGCAGGATGACCTAATCGCTGATGCCACAAGACTTGATCACTGGAGGCAACCGTCTTGTTTACACGAGCTATGTTGACATCCGTAAAGTAATAGACACCATCACGTTCTTCACCGGCTCCAATCAGGGTCCTCGAAAAACGGTCCTGCAAAATGCACAAGGTATCGGTGAATACCGCGAAGCAATTAGAATGTTTCAAAAGCTTTGAAACTGAGATTAAAGTGCAGTTGAGATCTGGCACATATAACACATCAAGTAAGGAAATCCGACTAGTAAGTGGTAATACGCCCACTTTAGAAGATACGGTTGTGCTTCCATCTGCAAACCCAATAGTACAAGTCGAAGTATCTCTAAGATTAACAAGCATAGACAAATCCTAGGTCATGTGGTGTGATGCCCCTGTATCGAGGATTACATCACCGTTTTTCTTACCGGCAAGCTTATCAGAACTACCTCCAGATTTCTCATTGATGATCTGAGAAATCGCCTTCCACTGTTCCGGAGTTAACTCCGGTGTCACGGACGCTTGAGGACTCGAAGCATAAGCCACATTCGCTTGTCCTCTTCCTCTGCCACCACTGCGACCACCTCCTCTGTTCGCACCACGTCCACCTCGGCCTCCACGCTCAGAAAACCACTCAGGATACCCAACTAGTTGCCAGCAAGCACTCTTTTCATGACCGCTCCTTCCACAGTGTGAGCACAAGCGATCTCGATTTCGACCTCCACCTCCTTGTTGCAGGAACTGAGCACCATCTTTGTGTCCTGCATCATCTTTTGTCTGCTCACGCCGTGTCAGAAACTCCACAGCCTCTTGCTGTTGTTCACGAGCTTTGGCCGAGTTAAGACGATCCTCTTCGCGAATCACCTTTGAGTACACCTTACCCAGATCAGGCAACACATCCGCTTCAATGATCGTTGTCACCACATGTCCGAATCTAGATTCATCAAGTCCCATCACGAATTGATGAACTCGTTCATCTTCTCGTTCTTTCTCATACGCTGCGGCTGCTGCACAAGTACACACCGGTGGAGGTTTGTATGTCTGCAACTCTTCCCACATCTTAGCGAGCCGCCCAAAGTAATCAATCACCGCTTGACCATCTTGTCGATACGATGCCGATTTCGCCATCAACTGGTGCACACGCACCTTGTTTTCAACCGAGAAACGTTCCTTGAGATTTTCCCACAACTTGTGAGCATCGGTAATAAACGTCACAGTCGAACGCACCCTTGGTTCAATTGATGTACGTATCCAACCACAATCATGGAGTTCACGCTGAGCCATGATTCTAGGTCTGGATGACCTTCGGCTGGTTTCTTCAACATGCCGTCGATGAAACCCGTCTTTCTCTTTGCTTGAAGAGCATTCAACATCTCCGTAGCCCACTCGTTGTAGTTGTCACCCTTTAACTGTACCGACGTAATCATCGCACCAGGGTTATCAGAAGAAAAGAGCGAGTAAGCTGACAGTGTTGTGCTGGTGCTCGCCTTATCACTAGCCACCACCATCTTCTCACCGATCACGCCGGCACCGGTTTTGTCGTCATTTCTTATCACGTAAGAAAAGAGTCGTAGAAGAAATTTATTGAGAATAAGAGTTTATGAAAAACACCACGAAAACAGAGTCTAGATCTCTTAGAGGGATCTATGCTCTGATACCATGTAGAATTAGAGAGAACTGGATGTCTGTATTGATCTTAGTTACAACATATATATACAACTTAGAGAGTCGGCATATTCGCCGTAAAGAATATCGGAAAGATGCCTAATAACTATACAAAAGATATACGTTTAACATATTTGTATAGATCCCAAATATATTCTCCAAGATATGCCGTGATATGCACTCCTTCGGCTAATACTTTATCATCCCGTAGAACCCAGGCAGCACCACCAACCTTTTTAGCAAAATCCCATGATGATCCAATGTTGCATTTAACCCAAGAGGAAGGAGGTGGAGACCAGAATTTTCTTGTCAAATTATCTTCATTCACGTGTCTCAGTTTATCAACATTTTCCAGCGATTGAGCGAGGAGCCATTGATCAGCCTCATCTATAATTTTGTTCACTGTTTTATCAGCTTTGAAGTTTCTTCCTTCAAATAGGAATGAATTCCTATTCTTCCAAAGCAACCATAAGAACCAAGGGAACCTTCTTCTTAAATCTGATGGCAGATCATTGTTCCACTTCATCTAGATTTTGGTTTCTACGTATTAATCTTTTACTAGTTTAGTTTCTGACAAAATTACTTAGAGCATGTGCATTAGTGATACTAAGAATGGGGATCATTAGATTAGATTAATAATATTTATGGGTTTTGCTTAAGGAATGAACCTGAGTATATTTTCGGGTTCCATTAGTGAACCTGAAAATGGGGTTCATCCCGAATATTATATTAATTTTTTTTAAAAAATTTAGTTTAAACACATAATTATTTAAAAAAAAGATTACAATTTATTACAAATACTTAAAAAACATACAATAGATAAAATATAAGAACCAAATTTTTTTTTTAAACATAACAACCAAATTTATTCCATAGATTTTCGATTAAATCCGCTTTCAACTAATCATGCACCTGTCTGCTACGGACTTCATTTCGTTTCGCCATCATCAAATTTGTGACATTTGAACGATTATTCGTAGTAAACGTCATATCGACATGCGAATTCCTGCTTCCTTCACCGTGTTGGAATTCTTCTATATTGTATTGAGTGCGAAAATCTCGTTCGTTTTCAACTATCATATTGTGTAATATGATAGATGCCCGCATAATTTTCCCAATTTTCTCTTTATCCCAAAAAAGAGCTGGATTTTTAATTATCGCAAATCTAGCTTGCAAAACTCCAAATGCACGCTCCACATCTTTTCGGACGGATTCTTGAGATGTTGCAAAAAACTTGTTTTTGGCTCCTTGAGGAAGTTGAATTGATTGTATAAATGTTGCCCATTTTGGATATATACCGTCGGTCAGGTAGTACGGCAAACTATATTCGTGACCGTTGACCCAATATCGCACTTTTGGTGCTCGACCATGCAAAATATCATCGAAGACTGGAGAACGATCAAGAACGTTAATATCATTTAACGTACCTGGAGGTCCAAAAAATGCATGCCATATCCACAAGTCATATGAAGCTACTGCCTCTAAGACGATTGTCGGTTTGCCTGAACCACGTGTGTATTGTCCTTTCCATGCGGTTGGACAGTTCTTCCACTCCCAGTGCATGCAGTCGATGCTTCCTATCATTCCAGGAAATCCCCGTGACTCTCCAATATCGAGGAGTTGCTGAAGATCTTGTGGGGTAGGTCTTCTGAGATACTCATCCCCGAACAAGTTTATTACTCCCTCCGTGAAATTTTCCAGGCATAACAAAGCCGTACTAGCACCTAGCCGGAGATATTCGTCAACCGCATCAGCCGCCGTACCATAAGCCATCATACGAATAGCTGCAGTGCATTTTTGAAGGCCAGATAAACCAAATCTCCCGGCAGCGTTTCTTCTTTGCTGAAAATATGGAATCTCATTGGAGAGTCGGTCAACTATACGCAGGAACAACTCCTTGTTCATTCTAAACCGGCGACGGAATAGATTTGGCGGATAGATTGCATTATCACTGAAATAGTCGTTCCAGAGTCGGTAGTGGCCTTGTTCCCGATCGCGTTCTATGTATACTCTCTTCTTTTTTTTTTTTTTCTTGCAAGACTTTCAAGTGCTGCATCAAACATATCATCAAACATATCATCAATTGAATCATCAAGTGAATCATCAATTGAATCATCATATGGCCCATTATTTGATGACGAAGCCATACTTTGTTTTGTGGTAAACGATATAGATATTTCGGTTTAAGAAGTGGAGTTGGTCAAAGAAAGTTTGTAAAAGAGATAGAGTTTGTAAAAGAGATAGAGTTTGTAAAAGAGATAGAGTTTGTAAAGGAGATAAAGTTTGTAAAAGAGATAAAGTTTGGAGAGCTCACGTTTGTAAAAGAAAATGTTCCTGGTTTAGAGAGAACGTTTGTAAAAGAAAGAACATATTATTGAATCATCAATTCATCTCACACAATACATTTATACAACAAAGAAAAGTAGAATATGTGGCTTACAAAAAAAATCTCATATAATTGGTGTACACTACAAAAATTAATGGTGTAGTAGAGAAAAAAACAAAAAAGACATGGCCCCAGTTCTTGTACGCATCTATGTAGTGGCCAGATAAACCCGTGACTATGTAGTGGCCAGATAAACCCGTGACTACCCTGCAAAACCAAAAAGATACATCAGCAAGTTGACAAGTTCATAAAAAACCAAAAAGATACATCAGCATATGAGCTCAATGATAAACAGAAAGTAGGTTAAGCAATTCAAACAAGTTCATAAAAAAGTTAAAAAAAGTTCATACATCACTTAAATAATTGAGGAGTTCATACCAAACTCTAAACGTTAAAAAAAGTTAAAAAAGTTCATACCAAACTCAAAACGTTAAAAAAAAAAGTTCATACATCACTTAAGCAATTCATTAATTATCTTGTTTTTAAGGAGGATTTCACTCTCATTGAGTGGTTCTGTCTTAGCTAACAGTTTTTCAAGTAATCTTTTGTCAATAAGCTTGTCTTTCAGTTCCAAGTCTCGTTGTTTGATTTCCCACACACTTGTGTAGTCCTTGACCTCCTTCTCTTGAGCTTTCCCTCCGGCTGACTTTTTAGCCTTCGCCTTGGACGCCTTGACACCAGGTGGCCGAGCCTCAACGAAGACATCATCGGCGACTGAGCTGGAAGAGTTAGCCGTGTCGTCAACTTTCCTTCGTTTGGCCTTCTCACCATCCTTGGTAGCAGGATTGAAAGTGGTGCACCATTTTTGGTCATGCCTGAGCTCCCTCCATGCATGCTCGAGGGTGAACTTGATGAGATAGTCATTGAAGAATATCTCATGGGCTGCCTTCATGACGTCGTTTTCGTTTTGACCGCTTGTCCTTTGCTTCTGTGCAGCCTCGTATGCACCAACAAACTTGCACACCTGGTCGTTGAGACGACCCCATTGCTGCTTACACTGTGAATGTCCTCTTCTTGGTAGTCCAATCAGGTCATCGCTTCCATTATAGTAGACTTCAATCCTCTGCCAGAATGCACCAGCCCGCTGTTCGTTCCCCACAATAAAATCCTTGCTCGTATTGAGCCATGCGCTTATGAGAACGAGGTCTTCCTTCGGAGTCCATTGCTTTCTGACTTTACTAGCCGTAGGTTCATCAGAACCTTGTGTACTAAACACAGGAAAGTCTGATGATCCCAGTTCAGTACAAGGCGAGTAATTGTCAGGAGGTATCTGGCTAGTTAGAAGGTTAACGAAGCCTTCAGACTGAGAGAAAGCGTTTTGAGATTCCATAAAGATGAAAGAAGGAAGATGGAAGTGAAAACTGAAGAAATATGGAAGTTGAAAGAAGAAATATGGGCGATGAAAGAAGAAAGATGGAAGATAAAAGAAGAAATAGGGAAGATGAAAGAATAAAGATGGCAGATGAAGAAGAAAGATGGTATAGATGATGAATTTCAATATGGCACTTAAACGGATTTATAGAAGGAGGAAGAAGATAGTTGCGTTTAGTGTAGTTAAGTCTTTACAAGTTTTATGGTTGAGTGTAGTTAAGTCTTTTAAAATTATATGGTTGAGTGTCTTTTAACAAGTTTTTAATAGTTTGTATCTGTCTTAAGTCTTTTAACAAGCATTTATCACACCTAACATGTCATATCATATTAACAAGCATTTATCAATTGTCAACAAAAGCAACCTACGGCTTTAAACCAACCAGCTAAACCAAACAGCTCAACCTACGGCTTTCAACCAACCAAACAAACTTAACAATTTAATAAAAGAGAGTTTGAAGTCTAACCTGTAATCGTTGATACACACTTAACCACTTCAAAGGCCCAAAAGCAAGTAGCCGTTGATCAACCAAATACCCTCACACAAAAACGATATCAAAGTTAGTATTTGCTTAGCAAAACTAGTAAAACTAAGCAATGGCAGCAACAACAATCAAACACAAACCAAATAAAACCGATCATTAAAATGCCAAACATATACCATATATCATCTCATCATCATCATCATCAACCATTGAATCATCATCAATCATTTCACCATCATCAACCATTTAATCATAACCGATATAATCAACAATCATATAGAATCAGATAATTCCAAAATTCCAAATTTGTGAACCCTAATTTTATCCGGTTTTCAACCAATTCACTGAGACAATCAATCGCAATTCACATACACGACATAACAATCGATCAGATATCCCTAATTCGAACCAGATTTAAAAAACCCTAAAATTTTCCCCCAAATCGAGAAAACCCTAATTTGAACTCAAATCGTCTAGCAATTTAACTCGCAAACAAGAATCGATAGCAAACAACAATCAGACACATACAAGCGAATTAATTTCCCCAATTTTACCCGAAGAAAAAACCCTAAAAAAAAATTTCCCCAAATTCGACTAAACCCTAATTTCAACTCTAATCGTCATGCAAATTAACTCGCATAGAAGAATCGATAGCAAACACACACATACAAAGACAATCGAAACGATTTCCCCAAATTTAATCGAAGAAAAAACCCTAAAATAATTTTCCCCAATTCGAAACCCTAAAAAATCCCGATTCGATTTTTACGGACAGATTTATGGAGAAGAACTCTAACCTGGATGATAAGAAGAGAAGCTGGACGATCGAAAACAATTTCCGACGGTTGATTTGTCGTCGTCGACGAGATTCCGTCAAGTCGCCAAGAAATCGCCTACGAGAGAAAGAAATAAAAAATTTTGCTAAAGAAAACGAGAAATGCCCGATGACAAAAAAATTTTTGTCCCACAACCTTCCCCATTTCTCGACGAACCAGCGCACGCCACGTGGCCGTGATACGGGCTCCTCAAGCTCGTCCGGACGATACCGGATCGTCAATATTAGACCCGTTTTCTTTTTTTTTAATCCAAAGTGCATTGGATCTTGGGCCTGAACCCGGGCTGAACCTCTGCTGCATATGCTCTTAGTTCTCATCCTTTTTGAGCATTTATTATTCTTCAAAGTAGGTTCTCTGTTTTCGGTCACTTTGCTGATTTAACAATTCATTTTTCTTGTTTTCTCTCACAAACCCTACTTAAAATTGGACAACGTGCGCAGATTTTAATGAATTACTTCTATTATATTTTCACATACTTGTTCAGTTCATATCTCCTTTTGCTTCTACGAATCCACACCAAAATTCGACTTCTTTTTCAATTTTAATATTTTGTGACACAGTCACACAGACATGTCGTCTCAACATAACGCGAACCAAAACGTCGACACAACATGCACAAAAATATACGTGGGACGCTTGCCTTGGTCTAACGACAAAAGAAAATTTGAGAAGAATCTTCGAACGGTTCGGTGAAATAATCCGTGTTGATGTGATCTATAATAGAGAAACACGGCAATCAGAGAGCTTTGGCTTTGTAAGTATCTAACAATATATGTATCCTTATACTTTGTACATAACTAGATACTATTTCACACTAGCTAAGATAGAACCAACGATTTTGAGCAGAGAAAATAATAAGTACATGCCTTAATTTTAATTTTTGTTTCTTTTAACTTTTGAGTATTTTTGCGTTTCAATGTTTGATAAATAGTATGTTTTACAACATGGAAAAGTAGACGCAATCACACAATTGGAACCAAATTTTTTAAAGAGGACTTTTGAATTAATTACTAGGTCACGTTTAGAGATGCTGAATCTGCAACGAGAGCAAGCCAGAGTCAGTTCCCGATCGTAGGCGGACGACTAGTCAAGTATAATCTTGCTTATTTTGGTGGTAGGTTTAACAATAACCTAAACGGATTACTCTCGAATCTTAATTTTTCTCGGTTTTGAATTCTTTTGCATCTTTACATTTTCGTATCAGCTTTTGTTTTTGTAACCGCTGCTCAACAACAATTAGCTACCTCTATATACCCTACTGGTAACATTCTCATCTCCAATATAATCTATTTGTATGATTGATATTTCGTTATGATAAATTGAATGGAAGTAACATGATATTAGTTAATTTTTTGGTTTTTTTTCCCATGTTTTGGGTTATTAGGTACTCGAACCCATCACAGTATTATCCGGCTTATCCATATTACCCTTACCCACCGCAGTATTACTAGAGGAACCACCATGGCTCAAGACTTATGACCTATCTTTGTCGGTGTTGTCTGAGTTAGAGAACTTCTTAATCTATTTGCTAAATTTAGACTGTTTAGTTTCTATGACCATACACAATAAATTGATATATCTATTGCATATATTCTGTTTCAACTATCAGTAGAGAACAAAATTCAATTTGTCAATCCCTGTTTACTCTGTCAGTGGCATTGTTGTTAATTCCATCGTTTGTTGATGACTCTTTGTATTGTATTTCCTTTGCCTCTTGAGTTTTGAATCTTGTTCTTACTTTATTATGTAGTTCATTATATACCCACTTTTAAAGATTTGCAGAGAAAGCACAAAGAATAGTTCTTAATTAATTTTAACCATGAGTTTTTTTTCTTTTTCTTACAATAATTACCACCAACAAGATTGTAAAGTTAAAAAAAAAAAATAGTAAACGAGATTGCTTAATAAAAATTAAAACTGGATATTTGCCGTTTTTATAAAAGAATAAAAACGACATTTGTTTATGACTTTACAACGATATTTTTGTTTTAATTCATTTTTATTATAAACGATATTTTTAGCCCAACAACAATATATTTGCATTTTTTTTTTTTTACAAATAATCCCCACGAGTTATATGACGGAGATTTTGATGGTACATTTTGTTACCACCATCACATTCATTTATAGTGTGGAGACATCTTAAACTTCGCAGTAATTAGGGTTAAGCGTCGATCAGAAATCCACAGCACCGTCAAGGCTCGCAATCATGAATCCAGGTTAATAGTCTATCTTTTGCGATATTTGTGATTAGGGTTTGTACGATTTTTGCTAATTCGAAGCGTTTTTGTCTTTTTCGCACAAAAAAACCATTTTTTTTTAAAACAATGAATTTCATTAGGCTTCGTGCCTCTTTGATCTGTTAATCATAGCCTTTGGTGGTGATTTTGGGAAACGCATGTCAATTGTATGGTCAAATTAATCAATTTTCTGACAGAATCTGTACCAGAATCTCCAAACAGATTAGGGTGTTTTTTGTGACTTTGATGTTTTGCCGTTTTGTCTGGTCATTGACTCTTGATAGTAACCATGTTTGGGTCCATTTGATTATATTTTGCTTCATTCACTTAGAATGTAACCTTTCAGACAGCCTTTTATAATCCTCAAAACCCTAATCGTAACGTTGAATATTGTCTGAAATATTGTAATCTTTTCATTTTTTTCTGAATGTTAAAGCCATTATTGAATGTTGCTTTCACATTCTATGGTAGATATTAGGGTTCTTAATTCTTATGTCAATTTGCTATCATATGTGACAAACAATCATCTTATTCCCACATTTTTGCAGCGTTGGGATTTCAATCTGCGTTTTCCAATGTCAAGGCCATCCCAATGCTAAACGGTTCAAACTTTTCTGAATGGAAAGAACATCTGTTGCTTGTTCTTGCCCTCATGGATCTTGACATCTCGCTAAGGGAAGGGCGTCCAGATGCTTCTAAGATTATCGATAAAACCGAGCATTGGGACCGTTCAAACCGCATGAGCATGATGATAATGAGAATCCGGATCCCTCAAAAACTCAGAGGCGTTGTCCCTGAGGACGTTACAACAGCCAAAGAATATCTAGCTTCGGTCGAAAAATGCTATCCGGAAAACTACAAGTCAGAGGTAGCTATGGTCTCAGCCGAGTTTTTCTCGTTGAGGAAGAAAGCAAATGAGAGTGTTAGAGAGTATATTATGAAGAAGATGAGCGTTGCAGCTAAGATGAAGAAACTCGGGATGCATATTCCCGATGATGTAGTGGCTAGTATGTTGCTCGATAGTCTGCCCTCGGAGTATGATCCTCTTAAAGGGATTAATAGGTTTCGAACAAAGAAATGGTCGACTCATGAGCTCATATATTTCTGTGTGCAACATGAAGAGAGTTTGAAGCTGGACAAGATGAAAATACGAGATGATGCTGCTGGTCAAGCCCTTTGTGGTACGAAAAGAAAGAACTTTGACGGTTGATTGATTGGTTAAATTCAAGAGTAGAATAAAAGAGATGTGCTTTAGATGCAATGTGTGGAGTTTTTTTTTGTTGTTGTTTTTGAGTTCCTACTTTTGCTTCTTTAAACATACAATAATGCTTAGTCTTTTTTGCTCTGTTTTTCCCCTGTTTTTGCTCTGTTCGCCTATTCTCTTGTTAAACGTTTTCAGTAAAACAACACTGATACTTACATTAGGTTTTTATTAAAAGTTATTATTACCGACGTATGTTCATAGTATACAACCATCAGCTGCAAAAAAAGAAATGCTTCAGAAACATCTAAGCATCAAATCCTTACAATTCAGGTGTTTCATGGATGGATTCAAGTCTTGGTTTCCACTTATTGTCGTCGAAAGATCTAAGAAACATTCTCTGATTCACAAACACCAGCTGCTCCAATGAAACTTGCTTCGCCAACAAGCGATCCAGCTGTTTCCTAGTTATCACCACTTTGATTCTCCTTCCTCCTGCAATGGCTTTCTCTTCAAACACCGAATCATCCTCGGGACATGCAGATCCGTTCTTGATTTCTGTGTTAGAATCTTGAATTTTCTCCTTACTCTCAAGATGTTTTACGCGCAAACATGCATCGGAGAAGGTCATTAGGCTTTGCTTCAAGCTCAGCTTCTTTTTCATTGTTATGTATCTTTCTTGGACGCAGATCCTCTGATTTAGTGACAAGCTGTGAGATTCACCTTCTTATTATGTGCTTTTATATATATAAACGCAAAGAGGGTTCGTTTGAATAGTTATTTAATGGCCTTCAATTATTAAAAGCATGGGTTGTGTTTAATTTGGAGTGGATGGTGAAAAAGTTGGTGGGAATGTAACAGATTCGGATCAATGATATTCTTAATGAACAAAAGAAAATTGGAGATTAAGTCTTGAAGATGTTAACACGTGTGCTTGATGGTCGGTCTTGCACATCTATTATATTAAAACAGAATCATTTTTAGTACTTGCTTCCAAACACTTCCAAAGTTTTTAAAATTTTTTTTTGGAAACAGTTTTAAAACTATCCTAATTTATTACATTTTTATTTAAAAAAACACATTTTCTTTTATATAAAATTTAATTCTGAAAATTAGATATTAATTTAGATAACTAAAGATTTCCTTAAATATAGGTTATATTTAATTTAAATTCAAACTTTTTTGTAATAACATTAGTTTTAAAAATAAATATTAATTTAAATTACTTTAGATATCCTTAAATATAGGTCAGATTTAATTTAACATTTGAAATCCAAATAATATTTTCAGGACAAAAAATATAATTAATCAATACCTTATTGTATTTTTTTAATCATATTCAATCAGACTAAAATTTTACATATTGAAAACAAATTAATATTATATGATAATTTGATGGAGCATGTCTTATGCGGGTTATTTTATCAAAACATACAAGATATTAAGATAAATATATTTCAAAATTAGTAAATATTTATATTATATAGTAATATGAATGGACGAATTAGAATTATGGTTTTATAACCACATTTTTTTATTAAAGATGAGTGAGTTATAAATATGTTTTTATAATAATGTTCATATTTCGATTAATAGAATGATTGGGTTAGAATTATGTTTTTATGATTGTGGTCATAATAATATTAAAAAAATATTAAAAACAAATTATATCTAAACATTAAAATAAATCTTTGACACTTATTAAAAAATTATATCTATAAAAAAATACATTACAAATTTTGTTTTAAAACATTCTTGTGCGGATGCACGGGGTAAAATCTAGTCTATTATATTAAAACAGAAGCACATTTAGTATTTGTTTCCAAACACTCCTATTTTTTTTTAAGTGTTTAAAAATAATTTTAATAATTATTTATATTTAATTTCGAAAATTATTTATTAATTTAAATATTTTTAGAGTTCCTTAAATATAGGTAATTTAGATTTGATTTGATTTGATTAAAAATAATAAATCAGATATTAATTTAGATTTGATTTAAAGATTCTAATTTAAATAATTTCTAAACTATTAAACATTTTTATCAAAAATATCTAGAATTTTTGAAAAAAATAATTCACATATGAAAAATAATGGTCATATTTGAAATATAAAATATTTATAATGGTGTAAATGATATGATATTTATGTTGCTTATATAATATATTTACGATTATGATTTATTTACAAATTAATAATAAAATAATAGGTAAATTTCGAATGTATAATTTAAATATTAAAAATATATTTTTAAAAATTCATAAAACTAAAAATATATATAAAAACCAGGTTAAAAATATTTTGGTAACTAAAATCACTAATTTTGAATTATACATGTATATCGAAAATATATTTTTCCTACAAAATAAAAATATAAAAATTAAAAATTATTGAATACACTATAATGTGGTTTGAAAAACCAGTTGTACACTCCCTTCGTTGATTAAATTTTAGAAAACTATAATGCTAAATAATACTGTTAATACATCTCAAACTTTTAACAAATATTTATATTATACGATAATATGAACGGAAAAGTTAGAATTATGTTTTTATAATAGTTCATTTTGAATTAATATTAGCGGATGGGTTAAAATTATATTTTTATAATCATAATTAATGTTAATACTATAAAAATATATCTAAACACAAAAATCAATATTTTCACTTATTAAAAAATATATTTATAAAAATAATTATATCTAAACTCAAAAACACAAATTATATTACAAAATTCGTTAAACAATAAAAAATATTCCCGTGCGGATGCACGGGGTTAGAATCTAGTAAAAACATTAATTTTGGACCGACTTTTTGATCTAAAACATATTGGCTTGTCTAATACTTCGTGATATACCGTATATCATGATGAAACCTATCTAAATATCTAATGTATAAATGATTAATGGTGATCACTATAACTAAACGAAGATTGACGTTTTTTTTTTGTTATCTTGTAGAGTTTGACCAAGTTAATCGGTTCCTTAATTAATAAAATATATATTAACATGTTAGTTAAACGGTTGAACGTAAACTCCAATTTTGTATTTCCTTTACATCGTACTATATGATTAATAGATTTGAGAGGTTCTTTTCACGAGCAAAAAATGAATATATTTGAGAATTGAGAGGTTAGTAGCTTTTAAATGGAGTTTTGGTTTTGGTTTTCGAAAAACTAGTTTAGATTTTTAGTCATCTAATCGAAATTTTTGGAAACAAATATGTAGTTATTTTTGTGCGTTTGCTTTTTTTTTTTCAATAGAAACTAGATTTTGACCCGTGCTGTGCACGGGATTATGTTGTAATCAGTTTAGATATCTAGTTTTAACGTATGTGGACATACTATATTTATAAACTAATGATTTATACTACATTCTATATAATTTAGAGTTAGATTAATAGTTGTGTATAGAGGAATGTTGTATTGTAGTTGTCTTTAACATTTTTTTGTTACTGTGTTATATTATTTTGTTGGTTATTTGTTAGTTATTAAATAGTAAAATATTATTCGGTAATTCATATTAGATATTGATGTGTTTAAACAAAAAAAATCACGAATGTGATGTAAAATGGCATACGCATTTGAATTCAGTGTCGATATTAAAAAAATTAAAATCATGGAAATAATAATAGAATTAATTTAATTATGAATTAAGAATAATGTATGAAATAGAAATACATTAAACTTCATAATCCGAATATGAAAAACATGAGTTCATTCCTCTTATTAGTACTAATGCAAATGAAAATGTAGAATCGTAGATAAATAATAATAGCAAAACTCTACTAATCCCTCACATCAGAATTTCCAGATGTGTTTTCTGCAGTCTTTTTCTTGTTCCAAAGGCTGTATAAACAAAAAAAAAAATAGTAAGTTACGATATGAGCAAAAATAATATGAAAATATAGATATCCAAATTATTTACTATATTACTCGAGTCTGAAACGGAGGACTTCATCGATCGATCGGTGGTGCAACAATGAAAGTCTTAGAAATATATAAAAAAAGAAAAAATTATACAAAAGACCCCATCCATTCCATTGAAGGACTAAATTGAATTGGATATTGACAATAATTCTATCATAATTATCATACCATGATTTATCTCCTATTTATTTAGTAGAAATCCTATACAAAGAAGACTTAAATAATAATAGTGTGCTATATATCTCTCCCTATTCTTGTCCGCAAAAGTTTTTGCCTACTTTCTTCTTATAAAGAGATTTGTGTATACAAGAACTTATTAAATTCTCAAATCTCTTCTACGAATCTCCATCAAAATTCTACTTTCTTTTCCCATGTCTCAACCAAACGATAGGGATACAAAGATATATGTGGCAGGTTTGCCTTGGATCACAAGAACCGAAGGTCTCAGAAGTTACTTCGAACAATTTGGAGAAATTATCAATGCTAATGTGGTTTGTGATAGAGCAACAAGACGATCAAGAGGTTTTGGTTTCGTAAGTATCTAACATTATGTAACATATAGACTAATTACTGATAGATATTTTTTTTTTAATCATGAGTTTGAGTTAATATTTTTAGGTTACGTTTAGAGAAGCTGAATCTGCAAGGAGAGCTTGCGAGAATCCAAATCCGAAAATAGACGGACGAGTGGCCAGTTGCAAACTTGCTTTTATTGGTGCTAGGGTTCACAATAACCAATCAAACCAAAACGGTTTAGCCACAATTTTCTCCAATTCGATTAACTTATATTCGTAGTTGTGCTTCTTTGTTACAATCATTGTTCTTATAATCGCAGATCAACATCTAGCAATTTATGGACTATCCCCACTGGTATTTTCTCCAATTCGATAAAACCGATCATAATCTCTATTAATTGTGTAACATGAAACTAATATAAGTTTTTTTTGGTTTTCCCATATTCAGGAACCAGTACTACTCGCAGTATTATCAGCAGTTTTACTCATATTACCCTTGGTTTAGCATTTACCCGTGTTAAACGGAATCTCAATCTGAGATACAGAGAGCTTCTTGTTCTGTTACATTCTCATAGTCAACTCAAGTCAGTTTATAGTTTGTCTGACTTTATATTAGCAAAAATTAATCACTATGCATATGTAGACTTTTATATCATGTTGCTACAATATCATCTATGCTCTGCTTTTCATAGATTCTATCTAAGTCAATAAACAGTTGTTACTGGTTGTTATAAAGGTTGTCACAAGAAAAGAACAATTAACGAACATAAAGAATCTATTCTTGGAAGAACACCTTCTCTCAATTGCAATATTCTTAGATATTCGAGTCTTAATGAATCTCTTGCTCTGCTTCCTCGTATCTGTTGAAAAACATAGAAACTACAGGAGGGGGAAAAAGGGGTTTACTTGATTCTTCCGGAAAGTAGAGTAAAGATATTAAAAAGTAAATGGATTTCAAGAAACACACACAAAACAATATATGGACCCAAAAATCTCAATTCTTTTTGCGTGAGCTCAAAAAAGATGCAACCACCATGAATTATTAAAGAAAAGTGGGGAAAATAATCAGGTGAATCGCTTGGCCAATAGGGCAAAAACTTTGCTTCTTAGCCTTTTTTCTCTTGTATAGCCATTTCAATTCTCCTCTGCTTTTAACCAGAGACATCCTCTGCTTTTGTTATAATACATCGGGGAAGAGTAGAATACTAACTACTATAATTTTATATAAACAGTGTTTATAGCTATACAAGAAGTACCAACACAAAAACATCACCGAAATACAGTGTTTAATAAAAGGAACGATTAAGCACAAGTGAAAGAAACTATTGTGTTATATAAATGGTTGTTTCATTCTATATATCTCATATAGTTGTAGAGCAACGAGTCCCTTGTATTGAAGCTAATGGAGAAGTGGTCATGTTCGGTCCAAAAGCCACGATTGCAACACAATTCACATTAAACCGGTATGCGCCAGAGACAAATGTCCCGATCTTCCACCGTAGCTTTCCGTCCATCTTCATACCGATGATTACTTTACCGGCTGACCGATCACGACCGATTTGATAACCAAAGGACTGAGCAACTGGTAGCTCAGTCCCTTGAAGAAACGCAGTCAAAAGATTGATTTCTTCGTGGGATTGATAAAAAGGTGGTAGAGAAGCCTCTGATGTTATTTGTTGTCCTCTGTATGCTGCGTATACGAGTAGCTTATCATAGTAGATTCCTACTTTTTTGTTAGGGTTTTTGGAGAAGAGTGTGAGTTGGATTGAGGAGTTGAGGAGGTGAGTGGCGGAGGAGGAGAGATTGAGGGTGTAGATATCGGCTTCCGTGAGGGAGAACTCGGGTTTCGCGGGGTGGAGGATGAGCCAGATGAGAAAGATGATGAGGAGAAGGCCGCTGAAGAGAGTTGAGAATGTGAAGAAGAGTTTCTTGCGACGATTGTTGATGTCGATCCCTCCTTTCTTGGCGCAATGTTTTGGAGAAGTTATGGAGATTTGAGACATTTGAAGAGAAAGAGAGAGGGAGAGATGTTGTTGATGATGATGGAGAAGGATGAAGAAAGAAGGAGAGAAGGTGAAGGGGTTAATATAAATTAAAGAAAGAAGTGTTGGAAGTAGAAAGCTATAAGCACTTAAGCGGCAATTATCTTTGTGTCTTTAGTAATGCTTTTTTGACTTAGATGTTTGCTTGTGAGTTGTGAAGGCTGTGAAAATATTGGCCGTTGGATTCACAGATAACTGGACTTTTGTTTTCTTCCTGTCTTTTTCCTTTTTAATATATTTGCGTGAACGTTTTAGTTACTTATATTATTATACATGCTTGATTAGTTAAGGGAAATTAACACCAAATAATCAATTAAAGTTAATAAACACATCATGAGACTTTGAAACGCCGAGATATATAATTTCTTTCACCCTTTAATTTGTGTTTCTTCAATTTCAAACGATTAGGGTTTTTTCAGTATGCATGATAATAAAGCAAAAAATTGGGGTTTCTGCATGGTAAGTTTTGTGAGATCATGATAATAGGTGAACACGTATTGAAATTTTTAAAGAAATCTTGGTTCGAGCTTTCCACCGCATACTATACAAAAAAGTGATATAATAGGAACTTTAATATGAAATATTCTAATTCGTATATTAATATACACAAGAATTATAAGTTACAAAAAGTTAGACACAAGAATTACGGTATGTGTAATGAACCACGGGTCCGAAGATCCTTTTGTCGGAATACTCGAAACCTATACCATTTTACGGTCTCTTGCTCGGTTTGTAGTATTTGCATGAGAGAAGCCACGTATTATTTTTGTATTATATATAAATTAATACAAGTACAAGAATCAACGCCTCAAAGTTGCTTTGAAAAGCTCCATCCTATGAAAAGCTTTAATTTTTATCTTCCACAAAAGCAGCCTTTTTCACATTTTATTAATCGGATAATACCTAGGTATTTTATTATACTAATATGGCTTTCTCAGCGGGAGAAAAAGAATACTAAAATAGAGAGAAAAAAGAAGGAAACAAAAAACCGTGGAAGCATCTCAATCATTTCATGGGGGCTTTTTGTGTCTTTATGTAGCCGTTCCTTTTACGCTAAGGAAAGATAGAACAACTCGTGCATGTATGCATCCAAATTTCTTTAGATGTCACCATTACGGTTTTCATTTCTCTTTTAGATATGCTTATAATTAAATCATAGAAATTGTAATAGAACTACATAGAAGAGATGATTCGTATATACAAAAAGTAATATCTCTTGGAAGACCATACTATATTATAGGATGTTCTCTTGTAAAATAGCACTATAAGTATGTTTTAATCAAACACACGAGAGAAAATAGCTCTAAAATAAATATTAGATTTTAGTCTCTTCTACTTTGCGTATATATTATCAATTCTCAACGCATATGATTGTGTGATAAAAGCGTAGGGACCTCTACCGCTCAGAAATTGAGAAAGGAGAAGTGAAAAAAAAAATGCAAGATATTAGTATTAATTATATTGATTTATATATATATTTTATTATAGGGTGATTTGCATCAATATTATGTTTGGAAGAGCAAATTAAGCGCGTGACATCCAACCAGAGTCAATTCACTCAGTAGCGGAAGTCAACGAAAAAGTAGGGGTGAAAATGACAGTATGCTCCTTGCTCCCCAAAAAGTAGACATCAGTTTTTTGTGGCGGGTAGGGACCACACGGACTTAGCTAAAGACAGACGCTACCATGTTTTTGAGACAGTAACATCACTTACTTTTTGTTCCTTATTTGCCCGCCCGAGGTGTTTTGTCGTGTTGTTAATTTGTACGAATAAGTTTAGTGGAGGGGACCCTTGGGATCAAATAAATAGCTAAGACGAAAATTTCCATAAACCGCCGCTAGTAAACAATCGTCTACGGTTTGACTACTTCTTGGTTTCGAAGGTATAACTATTTCTGAGGATAAATTATGACTACTTAACATATGTAGTTGGATATTTATGACCTCTTGACCTTTGTTTGTGTAGATGGCAGGAAGGCAAATGGTGTTGTTGGTGAAAGGGAAATGGTTCGAACAGACCAACGGAGTGTGGACTTTCCTTACGGACCACAGAGGGAACACTAAAGCGGTTTTCCTAAGCTCGCGGATGAGTTTTTGTGAAGTTGTGAAGCTCGTTAAGGAAAAACTGTGTATCAAAGAAGATGTGGGCGTAACACTTACTTTCCAGTGGCCGGCATTCATGCTGATGGACGACGGCCACGACGCCCCACCTGTGCTGATGTCGTCGGATGATGAAGTGTCGCTCTTTGTGGAAATGAGAGCGGAAATCGACCAGCTCAATCTGTGCGTAACCACAGATGAAAATACGGACGATGATGTTGTGAGGGTTCCTGGGAAAATGAAGAAGCTTTGGTTGTCTACTGCACGATGGAGGAGGATGGGGCGGCTGGTGACGGTAAGCAGAATATAATAGCTACTTATTGAGTAGTCCGTTATTTGATGTTGGTAGTTTGTCTATGATGTCAGAGTAGTCAACTATAAAACCGTTAATATCCTAATACGAGATAGTTGTCTACCTATTTTGTACAGAACCTTGTCTACTGTGTCGGCGTAGTCAACTATTAAATCGTTAATATCCTAATACCACATAGTTAACTACTACGTGTGTAATAACGTGATGTGGTTTAGAAAACTATTAACATAGTTGTCTACGTATTTTGAACAGAAGCGTATGAGGAAGAAAATTCTGAGAGGCTGGACGAGTTAGCTGTAATCAGTTTAGCTGGAGAGGAGCCGGACTTTGCGAAGGATGATGATATCCCCGGTGAGGGTATCCATGAAAATGTGGATGATGCTGGTGAGATACCCGACCAGGACAACAACGATAATGCGAGGGCTCGGGATAAAGGGAAGGCTAAGGTGCCGGATGGTGACTCTGGTTATGTACCAGCCAGTCACGGATTGGAAAAAGGAGAGTGTAGCCGCCCTTCAGGCAAGTACAGTTGCGCAGATGAAACTATTAATGGTGTTTTCTCTGAGACGGAAGAGGTGCCAGCTATGTTTGGAAGGGATGCTCCGCCGGTAGTGGATGATGTTTCTGATGATGGTAGGTAGTTATATATATATAGTGAACTACCTTAATAGATGTATACCAATGTTTATCATTTGGTTCACCTAATTGGAATTACAGGGATAGACAGTGCTTTGCGAGATATGCGATACGAAGGCGATGGAATTTTTGTTGGGAGAATTTTTCGAAACAAAGTTGAGTGTAAAATTAAATTGGCTATTCACACCATCAATAGGAAATTCCACTTCAGGACCCCGCGTTCAACACTAAACTACATGGAGTTTCTTTGCATCAATTCGACATGTCCTTGGCGGATATACGCTTCCCTCATGGATGCCACTGGGAACTTCCAAATTAAGAAGGCGAAGTTGAAGCACACATGCCCCATTGAAGACCGTTGGAAATATCACAAACAGGCGACAACACAAGTGATTGGTGAGCTGATCCAAACACGATTTGTCGCGGGGGAGAAAGGCCCCGGTCCAATCGAAATCCAGCGAATCATGCTTCAGGAGTTCCAGGTATGGTAAATTTAGTATTACGTATAGGTAGTGTAGTTGTCTACGGGTAGTTGCCTATTCGGCTACATAAATGATGTGTCGGTCTTTCTCGGATTACGAAATGTAGGTCAACATTTCATATTGGAAGGCGTGGAGATGCAGGGAACTTGCATTGGAGAAGGCATTTGGATCGGTCTCTGGCAGTTTTGCATTGCTCCCTTCTTATTTGGTAAACCTACAGAACTCTAACCCTGGGACGGTTTGCAAAACTGAGTTCGGACTGGACAAAAATGGTTGTCAACGATTCAAGTACCTATTCATATCGTTTGCTGCTTCTATTGCTGGACTCCCATACTTACGGCCAGTGGTGATTATTGATGGTTAGTTGCTAATTACTTATATACAATTACGTGATAAGTAACTACCCATTATATATAATAAAACATAAATCCTTCTCCATCGTTACAGGGACTCATCTGGTAGGCAGATATGGGGGCTGTCTCATATGTGCTAGTGCTCAAGATGGGAACTTTCAGATCTATCCAATTGCATATGCTGTTGTGGACAGCGAGAATGATGCATCTTACGAATGGTTTTTCAATTGCTTGAACACTATCATTCCCAATGATCGTGATGTTATGTTTGTTTCAGACAGACACGGGAGCATCTACTCTGGACTCAAAAAGGTGTGAGCTAATGACCAATCACAGATTCATAGTTACTTACATATAGTTGTCTATTAATAACCAACCATTTTGATATATTAGGTGTACCCTGATGCCGGTCATGGGGCATGTCTGGTTCACTTAGCAAGGAACATAACCGCACAGTTTAAAGAAAGTCGGCTACCTGGTCTGATGGTCAGAGCTGCAAAAGCATATACCGTGTACGAGTTTCAGCAGATATTTGCAGATCTCCAAAGTGTAAGTCCTAGCTGTGCCAAGTACTTACTTGATTTAGGGTTACCACACTGGACAAGGGCATACTGCATTGGCGAACGGTACAACGTAATGACCACAAACGTTGCTGAATCTCTCAACAAAGTCTTGAAAGAGTGTAGGGAATTTCCATTAATCTCAATGCTTGAGGCCATACGGATGAGTCTAATCAGCTGGTTCATACGGAGAAAAGCTGCATCCGCCGCAGAGCAACATTCTATCAATCAGAAAGTCTGTGACCTGATGGACGAGAACTACCATGATTCCACCGAGTTAAAGGTAAATAGTAGTCGATTAGTGGACTATCGGACTACCTGTGTTTAACTAGTTTCTGTTGTATATTTGTATACGACTACTTGTAGCTGACTTTGTTGATGTGTAGGTGGTTGTGGTCGGAGAGGATGAGTACGAAGTTTACAACAGACAGGGGGAAAGGTTCGAAGTGAACCTTGGTTTAAAGACGTGCAGCTGCAGGGAATTTCAAATGCTTCTCATACCATGCCGCCATGCAATGACAGCTTCTTCGTTGAGCAAAATTGAGTTAGATAAGCTCGTAGGGGAGGTGTATACCACAAGGTACCGACGATCCCTTTACGAAGGAGCTTTCCATCCAGTACGAACTCCTGTAAGTTCTGGTGGGACCGAACTACTACCACCATTGATGCGCCGTCCCCCAGGGCGACCAAGGAAAACAAGGATCCCATCGCGTGGAGAGTTTAAGGTAACGATTATTTGCTAGTTAGTTAGTAATTTTTTATGTCGTAAATGACTACTCGGTAATCGTATTCATCTATTGACGTTCTCTAACTTAACAGAGGCGTTCGAGGAAGGCAGCGAGGGTTTGCAGCAGATGTCTTGGAAAGGGACACAACAAAGCTTCATGCAAACTATCGGTGCATGAAAGGTAAGTGAAGTGGCATGGGTTATGTTGGGATGAGGCAGGGGAGAATCGGATATGATGCACTTCAAATGCAAGTTAAGGGTCAACATTTTATGTTGGTTCTTATCTCCTGGAAATTTGAAGCTTTTTTTGGAACTATGCATCCTAAAATAAGTAATTGGATCTTGGATACTTTTTGTAATGCCTCAGCTACTTTCCTCCCTTAGTTATTTTGTTATTATTGAATGTGATACTACGCATCGTGAAACATGTTCTTGGCCTTCTAGTAGTGATAATTAATTGCCCTTACGCATTTTGAATCTCTATTAAAAACTTTGTATGATTGATAGTTGTCTACTTGTATATGCTTATCACAGTTAAGAAATGCCGCATTAGGCTGTATGTAAATAGTAGATTGTCGTAGTATATAGGAGTTTATTAATAAATAACTATCTGTAGCATAGAAACTATTTGTTAACCAGGGAATTATAGTCTTTGCCTTTTGAGTGTGCATACGAAATTGGAGTCTCTTTTGGAACATTGGATGATTGATAGTTGTCTACTTGTAGTTAATTAACAGTTCTTTAAATGTCACAATGGTCTGGAGTGTAAATGTAGATTCTATTGTTATATAAGTGATTATAACTAGTTAACTACCTGTAATACAGACTTATTTGTTCGCGATGGTTACTATCACATAAATATTAGTAATGCTTCATTCCGATTGATGATAATAAACGACTACTAATAATTAAATATGTCGAAGTTCATAAAACACACAAACATAACAATAAGTCATAAAGGGATAAGTGTCTAAAACGATGTGACATGTTCGACAGGGAATAAGTTGTTAAAACACCCGGATGCAATGTTGGCATCAAGCCGCAGGGTCCTTTGGAATTACGACATTAGCTAGAGAAGGCGGTTCGATCAAACATAGGAGATCACAAGCAAACTTTAGGGAAGCGTCACGAACAACATCATCACCCACAGCATTGTCCAGAGGCACATTTGCAGCTTGCAACTGAATAGACATGAGTGCCAGCACACCCAAATGACCTGGTCGTGCAGAAAAATAGTTAACTATCTGTAAACGTTTAACACGTATATGTATACTACTACAAATAGGAGATACCTAAAGTCGATGTCTAGAAAGTTGGTTTCACAATTTTTATTGTGAACGCCGTCAGGTCGTCTGCTTTCATCTATGTATTGTATGCCACTCTCCTGATAAAATGTGGTAGAGACTGTGCAAGGTGCGCGACACTTGTCTTAAGTTTCATCTCTTTAAGTGTCGCATACGAATTCAGTACCAGAATCTCGTAGCTTTCAAAATCGATGCAAAGCCCCACCCAGTATCGGTCATCCACTTGAAAAGGGCAAAAAATCCCGGCAACCTGAGTGTACCATGAGCGCCTGGCTTTGACGTATGCAGCTGAACCAGGAGGGAGTGAGACAAGTTTCTTCTTCGGGGGATTTGTGAAATGCGGAAGGAGTTCAACGATGCCGTGAAGGAACGTGTACTCGACAAAGTCATAAGTGCACCGATCGTCGTTCAATTCCGCCAGTTGATGACGGAATAACCTAATATTGCTGTCGATAGACTAATATAAAAGATAGAAGAGAAAGTAGTCAGTTACATAGTAGACACATTGAAAATAGTTAGCTATTGATAAATAGTTAGTTACTAATTACCATCACGGAGATCGGGAATTTCAGGTCAACAATTTCTTTCAAAATGTTGACAGAGAGGACAATCCCATTCCAACTAGGAAAAGTCCTACAGATAACAAGCGTTGCAAAGGACCCAATGTTAACTACCGTCAAATAGTAAACAAAAATCAAATAAAGGTTTACTTAACGAGTATCTTTCATTCTATTTTGTAGGAGAATGACTTGTTCGAAGTTTGGTGTTGGAAACCAATGCGACATGTCAATTGATTTATCAGACATCTTCGGGCGTTTAGTTCGTGGGACTATATAGTCGGTCATCTGTGACGAAGGGACGGGTTGTCGTTTACTCTTGCGAATAGCTCCCTGTTCTTCACCTCCAGTCTTAGATGTTTGGGCCATATTTTTCTCTTCCTGTGTAAGACCCAGTGACCACACAGGAGGATCAACGCCTGCTGGAATTTCGATCTCTTTCTGGGCATTTGGGACGTCATCTCCCAATCCCTTAAAGGGACATAAAAAAATCATATATTAGTAGTTGACTACAGGAATTTGTAGGTCCTAACTAAACTGGTACGTCGACGAATTATCACCGAAAGATGAACGAACAGTAGTCCTCTACACGTAGCTAACTACCTTAACTTAGACTTCCTAGATGATTCTAACGAAAAAGAAATAATAGAGTACAAACCGTTTCCATCTGTGTGCCGGATGAGATCGCAGATTCAAGAATAGTGTGTTGGGTCTCCAGCATGATCTAGTATACATAAGTGTGTTGTCAAAATTACAAATAATTGACTACTTAGTAAATAGCTACATTAAACACAACTATTGAGTGATGATATTAATAAAGTTAACGAACCTGGGGGTTCTGGTGCTACTTCTTTCTGGGGGACTGTTTGGTTGTTGGTCTGAACAGGTGTCACATCTTCCTGCGGGCCGGTTTGGTCGTTCGTGTCAACAGGTGAAACCTCTTTAGCAGCATCGGTTCCGTCGTTGGTAACAACAGGTGGGACATCTTCAGCAGCATCGGTTTCTTCGTTGGTAACAACAGGTGGGACATCTTTATCGGCACCGGTTTGGTCCCTCGGCTGTACAACCTGATATTATTGTATCATATAATCGAGTACTAAGACACGAGATTGTATGCTTAACTAGTTGTATACTCACATATGGTGGTGGTGATGGAACAGGCTGGATTATTGACGGCTCTACATTAACCTACATTAACAAGACAAGTGTGAGTGAGTAGTTTAGTTGCAAGTATATGGCTATACGTAGTTGACTACGTACCTGTACTTGGTCTGATAAATCAGACAGCATACTCGCAATCTGGTTGCTCGCGAGTGTAGCAGCGTCTTGGACATCATCAACGTCAACTGGCATTTGTCTACCCACTTCGCCAACATCTCCAGATCCCTCAGCGTCAGGTTCCCTTCTATCTTCATGGGCATCACCATCATAAATTTCAACAACATCACCGACATTGGTATCCACAACGTCGTCACTTTTGGTAGAAGGACTGCTTGAATCCTTGTTCTTTGTACCGTCATCGCCGTCATCTTCTTTTGATGGATCTGAGGACTTGGACTCCTCGGACCAAGAAACATGTTGAAATCGTACGTGCTTGTCTCTTAGTGGAATGGACTTGACCCTACGGCCAAGCGGTCGCTTAGCAGGTTCTCGAACTTTAGCCGAAGGATCCTGTTTGCTCCGAATATAATCCTTAAAGGTACTCAAAGTGGAAGATACTTCGGAACGAAGGTCAACAAACTCGGTACGAAGACTTTTAATCTCTGATAATACAAACCCGGTCTCACGTACAACCTTTTCAAGCATGGAAGAAGCAGCAGGATCTAAATCCACATCAGAAGATGTGTTCCGAGACGATGACGCTGGTGCTTTTTGGCTGGTTTTGAAGAAGACTTGCACTTTCACCGCCATTCCATGTCTTCCTAGAAAATTTCTTGCCATCACTGATTGCTGCGAGTAAGTTGTCTACGGTTTCGTCCGGGACATCATCATCAAATGCGAAATCGGTATCATCCAACAGGTGTTCATCGTCCGGTAAGATTGCTGTGACAGCCACCTGTGATGATAAATTACCACGAGTAAGTAGCTACCAAGTATACACCTTTTAATAGTTCATTACTAATATATTCGCTGGTAGTAACCATCGCAAACAAAACAAATCTACACTACAAGTAGTTAACTATTAGAAGTTGATTATATAACACTAGGAACTACTATTACACTCCAGTCCTATGCGACATTTCAAGTAGTCTTAATTACCTGTAAGTAGACAACTAACAATCATACAATGTTTAAATTTCACGCATAGGTAACTACCAGGTCTTTGATTATCAATAGATATCTACTGGTTAACATAACTTTTACATGCCGTGGGTAGTCGCAATCCGGATGATAAATGAATTGACTACTAGTAACCAGTTACCAGTATTCCGAAATATATAACATACCTTGGTATAATTGTCGAGAGACTTCACATGAGGCATCGAGATATTAATCGGTTTCATAGAACCAGGCCGTACACTTGGGAATTCATCTTCTTCATCATCGTCATCCCTCAGGGTATGCTTGGTTGATTTACCTTTTACATCCTTCTGCAGAATAGAAGGAGCACACTCCAAAACAACCATCTGTAAAGCATGTAGAAAACCCTGAAAAGCACAGGTTGGCTGAGAAAGGTACGATGTCGTAGCTGTCCTAGTTTTGATGCTGTGAATAGTCAGATCAAAGAATTTTTGACCCCATGGATATTCGAGAAATTTGTCAACATCTTGTACCAACATGATGTGCTCGGCACTAATCTTGGCATTTTTGGAGGTAGGACAGACAATACCGTCTATGAGGAGTAGGCATGCCAAGTTGAATCTGGTAGCTTTATCTTTGTACGGTCGGCCGGCAAGGGTATTCACTATCCATCCAGGGTTGCATTCCTCTCAGAACCAAATAATTCAACGGTATATTTATTGACCTGGTCTTCCTTGAACTTTTTCGGCGGTGGTAAATTGGAGCAATCTAACCCCGTCGTAATAGCAAACTCTCTGATAGAAAAGCGAATTGGCTGCCCAGCAAAGAGGCACCAAAGCTCTTTTTTTTCGTAACCAGCTGTCTCGACAAAATAAAATGAAGAAATCTGACTGACGATGCTATCTTGTTGCCTGTTTCAATAATCTTTCCAAATTGGGACAGAGAGAGCTTCTCCATATGGTCTTCTTCCAAAGCATGACTGATAGTGTCGAGATAAGGTAGCTGGAAGTAGGTATTCACCTTTTTATTCGCCGGTTCGTTGCCTAAGGCAAACAGTCGGTCCGGAAACCGGGTCATGGATTGTACTCTGTAAAATAGATAAATGGCTATAAGTCAGTAACTACCGGTTGAATATAGTAGCCAATTAAACCTTAATAACTACAAGTAATCGTTTATTTGTAGATGAATAATTATCATAACAGGTAACAAAAAACGGTTGAAGAAAATAGCCAAATATTACCTAAATGACTACTGGTAATCAACTAACGTATTCATGTATACGCCAGTTACGATCGATTATACAATCGAATTGGACATAAACTGGTTTGTGATAGAATAGTCGGTTACTTGTATATTAATTTTTATAATATCGGACCAAACCAAAGTCGGGTGTCACCCCGAAATCCCTAGAGTCCCAAGTTAGAAATAGTTGAAAACGATAAAACGAAAACCTAGATCTGAAATTGGAGCAGAAACGATATCAAATTCGAAATAAACTACATTTATTCATTGAAAATATACGACTATTACGATAATTATTTACTAATAGCCATCGAAATTCGAGTATGAAATCGGTTGTTCACAGAAGCCTCTGCGTACGGCGGCGGCGGCGAAACGGGATCTAAAGGATGGGGAAGTACAATAAACAGTGAAAGAGCTTACCTTTAAAATTGAAAGGGGCAGGGCAACAGAGACGACGACTGGGTCGTCGTTATCGGTGCGGCAGAGGCGGTTCGGACGCAAGAAAAAAAAACGGTCGGTCGCTGGGTGTCTTTTTAGGTTAAAGAAAAGCGTCGGGGAAGATGAAAGATAACAGGGAAGATGAAAGAGAATAAGGGATATAAAGAGAGAAATGACAGTTGCAAATAAGTTCGTGGAGTGAGAGAAGAAAAAAAGAAATGGCAGACGGGAACTTATGAAGGGCAGTAACGGAAGTTATAATTGCGGTTTTTCTGCATTTTAAAAAAAAAAAAGGTTATCAGAGGTTGTTAGCGAGAATAAAATTTCATTTTTCCCTCCTGCTTAATGGTTCATAAAATTAAATATTGCTAAGATTAGAGGGTCCCAAAATAAATTGCACAACAATATTTAGTCTTACATTAATTAATACAGTACTTAAGAGCTAAACCCATCTGATAAGTAGGCAACTAATAGTAGTCGAATATAATAGATATTATGGTTTAATATAAGGCAACAACATACTCAACTAATTAGGGGTCTAATGAGAATTTTGCATGGTGGTAGTAAACGTAGAGGTAGCAGTGTTCGCAGTACATTAGCTGATGCTTCAAACGGCAGCTGGGGAAATCAAGGGCTAGTTGGGGTAAAGATGTATGACTATCAGGGACCACCATTTTCGTGATTAAATCCATCACTTGCTCCCCAATGGAGATCATATGCTCGATTTTTACTCTCCAACCAACCACACGGTCTAACATATCCATGCCTTTTGGATAGTGCCCAACAGCTGTAACACAGATTGCCAGCATTACAGTCGCCGCTTCAACTCCACCTTTTGAGGCTTGGTTCAAAAACCTCAGCAAACCTTCGATATCATTAGCAACCGTTATTCGGCTCATCCCACGGAGATAGAGTGCAATTGGATTACCTGAGTTGATCGCTGACTCAAAAAAGGTAGGGTAGTCCTGAATTAAACTCGGTCTCTTGACGAAAGCTGATATGTTAATAACCCTTGTCACAGATGGTTCCTTGAATGTTTGGTTCAGGAACTTACAAGATGATGCAAACGAGCAAGCGTCTTCTGCAGATACCGTACCAACTCTTTGGAATATGCCAATTACTGCATCACGAATATGCGGAAACACATCATTTGCCAAAGGATTGACATTGGGGTTTCTGAGGATCGAGATATGCCTACGAAACACAACAGAAAAAAGAAGTTAACTATCAAGTTACAGTAGTCACTTATCATGAAAGTGAAGTATATGTTGTCCAATAGTTAACTACCCCAATTCTAAATGTAAATGGCTACCGAAATTTAGTAGTCGATTACTATACACGACTATAGATCTGTAGATAAAACATCTGGTGGGTGAAGAAGACAATGAAACTGGCAAACATAATATTGATGCAAATCACCCTAGAAAATAACTGGAAAATCAGATCTAAAACTTTAAGATATAAAATCGCGTGGGTGCGAGTGATAACAGAGTTCGTGTCATTCACTGTAGCGAAATGTCGGAAACACCTCAAGGAGTGCTAGAGGAGACAAGAAAAAGGTTATACCTTAGCTTCCAGAATCCGCCGTCGATTTAGAACTGGGTGACGTAGAAGACTCGCCGACCATGGTTGATATCCCAAAAAAAGACGACGTCGCTACCTAGCCTCAGTCGCCGTTCGTCTGATAAGAGAGAGAGAGCTCAGATATTGAAGGAGAAAGGGAGAAAACAGTAATACTGGGTTGTGACTGATTTGAAATTCAAAATGAATTTCATCGACCCAAATTCCCCTATAAAGGCGTGGATAGAGAAATTTGAATTAAAGGTAAAGTGGGATGAAAGAGAAAATTGTCAGATAAATTGAAAAATGTTAAGACATAAACGTTATCATACATCAAATGTATTATAGTACACTGAAGGTGAGGGGGTATTAGATACTTTCCACCCTATGGAAAAATTAGTTTTCGCGCACGTAATTTACCCTTGTCGTTATGCTACCACACCAAAATTCCCTTTATTATACTATATGAGAGATGAAGACTTACTTGTTATAGTAGATGCTTTTTGGTTCATTCATAATATTAGTTTCTATTCATTGATTTATCGATTATAATATGTATATGAAGACTTAGTTGTTATAGCAAATACTTTTTGGTCCATGAATAAACTAATCTTCTAAGAAACGACCCCATGGACTTTGGTAGTGTGCAATTAATAATCTTCTTCACTTCTTTTGAAATACTTTCTGAAAATTGTTCATCATCATGGTGTTCTTACTTTCGACCTAACTTTTGGTGTATTACGGTTTAATTAACCAGACAATGAAGTGGGAAAAAGAGACAATGCTTTTCGTTTCGTTGGGTATTTAAAAGTCACTTTTTGTTGATTTTTCCCACATAGATTCAATTTTTTGTATTTTTAAAGTAAGTTAATGCCAGAATGACTATATATAAGACTAATGGTATTGGCTCTGTGGTTGATTAGGAGACTTTAAGTGCAACCTAAACATCTGGACGAGTTGAAACTTTAGAACACGTAGAAGATTAATAAAATATATTAATAGAATTATGAACAAAAGAAAGTCTTACCCGCATTAAACCAGCCCATTTTCACACGTTTAATTGTCAAATTATTTAGTTATCGAAACAAACATAATATACATAAGAAAAACCAAAATAAATTTGGTCCGGAGTTTGCCAATATGTTTCAATCGACATGCTAAATTGTTAATAGCATGAATGATTGAGCTGCTTTAATCACAAATATTACAATCTTATTACTCGATTCTCTCGCAACTAAGTTGGTTCATCTCTCCTTACGACCACTCTCTAGTTGATAATCTCTGCTCTATATATATCTTTTTAATGGTCTGTTCTTGCTTTTAGTTGATAATCCTTTCCTTTTGCGTTCATCACAAGGTATTGGTCTGTAACTAGTGATGAGCAACTATGTAACTCAATACCTTGATTTAAAATGAAATAAAGTATTATTTCCTTTCGGGATGGTGCAAAAGGAAATAAAGTACTATTGAAAAAAAAAATCTGAGTATTTTCAGATCTAATTGAAGGTTATCTGACCAAATAAAATAAAATAATAGAGAACAAAGGAGTGAAGTTGATAACAATACTCTGTTCTTTCATATGTTCCAAAGATTAGTATGGACTTAACCACTAAAACCCACTAGGTAGATATATGTGAGGAATTAGATTCAGCTCATTTTATTCGATAGAGTTTTTTTTTTCTTTTTTTTTTCGTCGGGAGGGTTATTTGAGTACATGTGATGGGGCTTGATTCAATTTGAATGGAGTCCGGATGAGAAAACTAGGATATAGATTTTTTTCCTTTCATAATAAAGAAATGTTTAAATTTAGCTTTTTGGCGGGCCAACCGAATGGGGCAGCAGAAGCATGATGTGAACCGGATTTGTAGCGAAGCTAAATGAACTTTTGTGCAACTTGGAATCTTTGATTACATCGCTCTCTAAACCATTAACCATGGAAGAAGAAGATATTAAAAAAAAAGTTGTGGGAACAACTTCGATTGCGCTTATTCCGAATGATGCGCCAGGTTAACTGTACTTCGATTGCGCTTATTCCGAAGAGAGTGGGGGCGGAGAAGTTGGCGGATTTCAGGCCGGTTTCGTGTTGCTCGACCGTGTATAAGGTCATCTCAAGGCTCATTTCTGCCAAGCTGAAGTTGTTTTTAAAGGACGTGGTTCAGGGTAATCAAGTCGGATTTATCAAAAAGAGACTTCTCTGTGAGAATGTTTTACTAGCGTCGGAGCTTGTGACGGGATTTGACAAACCCGGTTCCACCTCTCGCGGGTGTCTTCAAGTCGATCTCACAAAGGCATATGATAACTTGGATTGGAGGTTTTTGCTAAATATTCTGAAAGCTTTTGAGCTTCCGCAGGTCTTTGTTAACTGGATAAGGGTTTGTATTTCCACTCCTTATTACTCCATCAACTTCAACGGCGAGCTGGTGGGTTTCTTTCCGGGGAAAAAGGGTCTGCGGCAGGGCGACCCAATATCTTCTTCTCTTTTCGACATTTCCATGGATGTGCTATCTAAGTTACTTGATAAAGCGGCGTTGGAGAATAGGTTCTCTCCCCATCCCTCTTGTATCGACCCATTGATTACTCATCTCTTTTGCGGATGACGTTCTTATGTTCTTCGATGGCTCGGAGAGGTCGCTCGTTGGTATTATGGATGTTTTAAGGCACTTCTACGAGGTATCTGGATTAGCCATCAACCTTCGGAAATCATACTTGTTTCTTGATGGCAGTGATACAGGGTTAACAATAGCAATGGCTGCGAGGGTGGGTGTTATGGCTGGGGCTCTTCCAGTCAGATACTTAGGGCTTCCCCTTCTGCCTGGAAAAATGTCCTCTCATGATTATCAGCCGCTGTTAGACAAAATTCGTAGCTGTATTTCATCCTGGATTGTCTGGCATCTTTCGTTTGCTGGTAGGCTTCAACTGATTAAATCGGTGATTTCTGGCATTGTTAACTTTTGGGCTTCGGTCTTCCCTTTACCTCGAAAATGTTTATTGGAGATTGAGAGATTGTGTAATTCGTTCTTATGGTCGGGAGCCCCTAATTCTGCTCGTGGAGCCAAGGTATCGTGGGGTTCTGTATGTACTCCCAAGGAGGCAGGTATGGTTTAGGTCTGCGTAAACTGAAGCTTGAACAAAGTTATGTTAAGCTCATCTGACTTCTTTTCACGAAAAGTGGCTCTCTTTGGGTGTCTTGGGTGCAAAGGAATTTGATAAGAGGAAGATTGTTTTGGGACTTGCACCCGGATTCTTCGAGCAGCTGGATATGGCGTAGTATTCTTAAGCTGCGGCCATTAGCAAGGCTTTTTCTATGTTGCGAGGTTGGCTCGGGTGGGAATGCGCTATTCTGGCATGATAATTGGTCCGATTTAGGTCCGCTAATAGACATTTCAGGTGCTAACGGACCGCGGGTTACGGGTATTTCTCGGTTGGCCACGGTTTCTCAGGCGATTAGAGAGGGTGAATGGAGGTTGCCCCGTGGAAGACACCCTATTACTATGATGCTTAAGGAGGTTCTTCCTCATCCGCCGGTGTTGGTTTCTGGGATGGAGGACTGGTTCAGTTGGCGGAATTCAGCTACGAGCACACCGGGTTTTTTTTCAGCGTCGAGAACTTGGACTTCTCTTCAGCCATCGGGTACTGTGGTCCCCTGGGTGAAGTCTGTTTGGTTCTCCAACAGTATTCCAAAGCATTCCTTTATTCACTGGGTGGTTATGAGAGATCGTCTTCCCACTAGAGATCGGTTGAGAGGTTGGGGGCTTAATGTACCGCCTGTTTGTCTTCTTTGTCAATCAGCCCCTGAATCGCGGGCTCATTTGTTTTTCGGATGCCCCTTTTCCAACCAGGTTTGGTCTTCCTTCTTCTATCATCCATCGCTTCATCCCCCAAGATGTCTTGATGATATCGTTGGTTGGGTTACAAACGCTTCTCCCCTCTTAAAGCTTAAGGTTGTTTGTAAGATGTTGCTTCAAGCCTCCATTTATTTTGTTTGGAAAGAAAGGAATGCCCGGTTGCATACAGCCGTTACCAAGACTCCGGCTCAAATCATCCGGGATGTCCATTCGATTTTGCGGTCCAGACTGGCGGGACTAGACAGATCAAACACCAGATCTGATCTTCTTGCGGCTCAGCCGAATAATACCCTCTGCTCCACCTATCTTTCTGTCTGGTTTGGGTTCATTCATTTTGGCAATTCTCCAGCGCCGTAATATTCTAAATCATTATCTCCTCATTTTGTTTTAATGGTCCTCTACTGTTATATCTCTCCTCCTATCGCGTTATCTTAGATCTTTACAATTTCAGTTTTATCAGTCTTGTTTATTTCTGAATTTATTCTATGTATCTCTGCTTGTAATGATGCCCCCAAAAAAGGGCATTTAATGAAATGAAAAGGAAGTTTAAAAAAAGAACCAAAAAAAAAAAAAAAAAGTTGTGGGAAATTAAATCAAGATCTCCTAGTTGCTTGGATATAGTTAGCTCACCGCATATGGCTCTGTGTTTGCTTATTTTCGTTCAATGAATAAAGCGCCCATTTACGTAAGTATCCATGAGTTTCGCAGAAGCATTGCAGACTGAAAGAAGAAGAATTTAGGGGAAAAAAAAGGGAAACCTGTCAGACCGCCGTGAGACCACCCCAGCTAGGGTAAGACCGAACCGAGAAACGATCCTCTACAGCACCGGAAACATCCAGAAGATGATCGTGGCCGTTAATCACGCTCTAATCGCACGGTCATTGTTCATCCACCAGGGTTTAGGACCTGTCTCCTTAGAAATCAAGGATACAGAGGTACGAGCCTATAGACTAGATCCTGTTCAAGTAAGGTCGTGACCCATGTTGCTCTCTTTAAGTTATATTTACAACGAATATTGTCTATATACTAGCGATGTGGGATGCTGCGCATAAAAGGATATTGTAATGGATTGTTTCTAGGGATATAATGGGCGAAGACCCATTTACTTATATTTAAAGCCCATATTTTCTTTGCTATGTTGTAGTCGCAAAGATAAGAGAAGAAGACGGTTTCTGTAAACCGGACGGTCCATCTATATAACTCGAATGTCCTAATACTGGAAAATTTATGAGCTAAGACTAGTGCCAAAGAATGTGATTTGATCATTTTTATATGAAAGCCGGATGCTTACCCTTTGATAATATATCCTAATAACATAGCTAAGACGGAAAGTCGGATCCAAGTGCTTCTCTCCATGCACTAATATGTATGACTTGTGAAGAACAAAAATTATGATTTGAATGACAAAAATAGAGTTATAGTCGTAGCAATGAGTGCGACAAAGTTTCAAGCTTGTTTATAAGTTATAACTAACTACTACGCACAACCAGAAAGTGTTAAAAGATAACCTGTTAGTAGGAGAGAGCTCTTTATCATTGTTCCAACTTAATTCTTCTTTTTCTTGGATTTCGAAATCAAAAAAAAAAAAACTAGACTGATTCGTCTTCTCTTAGTGTCTCCAACCGCTTGATATACTAACCTATTCTCAGGGGGCTCACAAATATTAACCTTAACTACATAATTAACATTTATGTATATAGTTCTATTTTGATCGAAATCTTCAAATCGATTGTGACATATATATTGTTAGGCATTTTTGCTTGTGGGTGCAAAAACGTTGGCCTCATATTTTGTCAATAATTGAAAAGATGGTTGTTCTCACACACAAGTGCATGGCCTTGTGGACATACGTTGGGCTTTTCATGTGTGTGCTTCAATAGCTATGAGCAATGTGATTATTAAAGAATATACCCTAAGCTAGTAACTTATATGAAAGAGATTCACCCGTGTCGTTATTTCTTTGTTTCAATTGTTCTAAATTTTCTTGCATTGTCTATAAATTGTATCTATTAAACATTGTTTCAATCGCACGCTCTTCATCCCATCTGGGATACTTTGTTCAAGACAAAACGTATTACAAAGCAAACTTTCTTAATTACCTATTCCTAGATGATCCAATGGCGTGGGAGAAACATATCATATAATGTGAATCTGAGATGATCATTGGTAACGTATACCTTATTATAAATTATGAACCTGATACGATCATTTCATTTCATTCACTTAGTTGGTCGAGGTGAATAAAGTCCACACACTTAGCTACGGCTTAAATGCAACCAGTTTATCTTCAAGGAGAGCGATGTTGGGATAAATGTGCATCGTGTAATAGAAAGATCCATGATCTCATCTATTCAAGTCTCAAACTTCTCTAATTTTTGTGAACATGTTGTAAACTATTGGAATATTCCTAAGTATATGTTCGGATAAGATTGTATCTTAGATTTGATGTTATCCTAGATTTGAGATTATCTCCTATTGTTAAGGGAGTTGCTTTGTATATAAAGCCTTGTAAAGTTAACGATGAATGCAACAGAGATTACACAAATTGACATGGTATCAGAGCCTCGTTTGTTGACCCAATAAGGGTGGTCCAAAAAGGGTTTATTATCGGTCCTAAAGTGGGATTCGGTTCGAGATAGGCTGATAAGAGCCATCATCTCGAGGGGGCGTGTTAGAATCCCACATCGGAAAATTAAAGGGACTAACACTAATATATAAGGGACTTGAGCCTCTCCACTTATCGCCAATTGGTTTTAAGTTGGAAACCCAGGAAACTTAACATGGTATCAGAGCAACTAAACTGATCCAAGTTCATTTCTCTTACGACGCTCTGTTCGTCTCTTATTTTCTTTTTTTTCAAACACACACATCATGACCGACACAGACACTTCAACAGCTACCTCTCTTGCTCCTACAGGCGACAAGCTCGTCTCTCCATATTACCTTCATCCCTCAGACCATACGGGGCAAGTGCACACTCCGATATTGTTAAACGGAGCCAACTATGAACGATGGGTGAAGCTGATGATTAACTCTCTTCGCGCCAAGAGAAAGTTAGGGTTTATTGACGGAACCCTGAAGAGGCTGTCCGACGATTCTGACGAGGCAGAAAATTGGGACATGGTCAACGCTATGATCATTGGATGGATCTATAGCAGTGTCGAACTGAAACTCCGACCCTCGATTTCTTTGGTGGAAAGCGCAACGACCATGTGGTCAGGTCTTAGAAGACGATTCTCGGTGAGCGATGATACTCGCATTCATCAACTTCACGCGGATATTACGGCGTGTAAGCAAGGAGGTGATTCCGTGGAGGAATACTACGGAAAACTTAAAGTCTTATGGGATGATCTTGCTGATTTTGACAAAGGGTTCTCCAGCTGCTGCAAAAGCTCCGACTGCTCTTCCATGGTGGCATCCGAGAAGAGCAAGGAAAAGGTCCGAGCACATCAGTTTCTCATGGGACTCGACAACTCCCGCTTTGGAACAGCACACTCAAATATTTTGAGCAGAGGCACTGACATGAATCTGGAACTCATCTATTCTCAGATCATACAGGAAGAGCGACACATTGCAGCAATGCGGATGACGGAGGAACATGTACCTGCGGTGGGTTTCTCAGCCACATCATCACCACCTTCGTCATCTCGACAGCCACAGGCGGCAGCTAATCGCTTCGTTCGTCCATCAACGGCTTGCTCACATTGTGGCAAATCAGGGCATGAGGCAAGTAGCTGCTTCCAGCTCATCGGATTTCCGGAGTGGTGGTCCGACAAATCCAAAGCCCAAAGCGGTGATTCAGGCAGAGGCAGAGGAGGACGTGGTCAAGCTAATCCAAACAGAGGACGTGGAGGCCGTGGCTCCGGTTTTCGATCCAACAATGCTCAGGTCGGAGACACAACAGACACTCCCGGTATTCCCAGTTTCACTCCGGAGCAATGGTCGTCACTAGCTCAGTTCATGAACTCTCAAAAACAGAGTTCCCCCTCGGAAAAGCTTTCGGGTAAGACAGAAAAGCTTTATTTTTTTGGCAAAAGCAGTCGCTTTGACATTATCCTAGATTCTGGCGCCTCCCACCATATGACAGGCGACATCACTTTGCTAACCGATGTGGTTACAATTGATCCCTGTCCGATTACCTTGCCAAATGGGCACATCACCTGGGCATCCCGATATGGCACCTTGAGCCTTGGTGGAAGACTCATCTTACGTCGAGTTTATTATGCGCCACATTTATCCATTACATTGATCTCTGTGGCTCAACTTCTTGATGATGTTGCCAGTTTTGTATTATTCACAAAGAAGTTTTGTTTGATACAGGACCAAACTTCGAAGACTTTGATTGGTGCGGGTGAGGCGCGTGACGGGGTCTATCATTACACCGGTGCGGTTGCAGTTCGAACAAACTCTGCTGGACAGTTGGGTGATCGAGAGCTGTGGCATCGTCGGCTAGGCCATCCGTCAGCAAAAGTTCTTTCAGTTTTATCGGATTTATGCAGTTTTTCTAGTAGTTCCAATGGTTTTGAAAAGGCTTGCGACGTCTGTGTTCGAGCCAAACAATCTCGTATTAAATTTTCAGAGAGTTCTAATAAAGCTGGTGCAATTTTTTCTATGATTCACTGTGATCTTTGGGGACCATATCGAGAACCATCCTCATGTGGTGCTCGCTATTTCTTGACCATTGTCGACGACTTCTCACGTGCTGTTTGGACGATTCTCTTGCTCGAAAAAAAGGAAGCACCCGGTGCTTTAAAATCCTTCTTCAAATTGTTGCTCGACAATTCAAAACACACATTCAAACAGTGCGCAGCGACAACGGCTCAGAATTCGTTTGCTTAAAGTCTTTCTTTGCAGATAATGGAATTGTCCACGAGACGTCATGTGTTGCTACGCCTCAACAAAACGGGCGAGTTGAAAGAAAGCATAGGCACATTCTAAATGTTGCCAGGTCGCTATTGTTTCAAGCTGATCTTCCGATACGATTCTGGGGAGAAGCGGTTTTGACAGCCACTTACTTGATCAATAGAACGCCGACTAAACTATTGGACTACAAGACACCTTATGAGGCACTCTTTGGAACAGTACCTTCTCTCGATAATATTCGCACATTCGGTACCTTGTGCTATGCCAAGCGTGTGGCCCGCGACAATGACAAGTTTGGAGCCAAAGGAATCCGATGTGTCTTCTTGGGCTATCCCACTAACCAAAAAGGTTGGTTGGTGTTTGATCTCGAAACAGAGAAGTCCTTTACATCTCGCGATGTCGTGTTTCACGAAACGGTGTTTCCCTACGAAACTACACCACCATCTTCGGAGCGGTCTTCTCCATCTGTTTCTCCGCATCCTGCGATCTTTGACGAACCGGATTTAACTGCGGATGCTCCAATATTAGCGCCATCAGACGCTCCTAGTGCTTCGATTCCAGCAGCACCTGTTATCAGCACCTCTTCTTCAGAGTCAGGGGGAGTTACTAATCCCATGGTTGAGGATCAAG